TCCCTCAGCCACCCCCCCCCTTCCGTCGGCCCCAAACAAAACCTCTCCGCGCGGGTCGGCGTTCGGCGTCTCGGCTCTTCCCGCCAGCAAAACGTCTCTTTTTCTTCCCCCCCCAAAAAAAAATTATGTCCTAAAAGGTCTTAGTCTTAAGTGGTCAGGCCTTCAGACACCAAATCGAAACGTACTGTAGTGCTGATGCCACTGGAGTCTGAGGATCTGGCCCCCAGGAGAGGAGCTCGTCCCTCCTGCCCGAGCTTAGGGGACAAGAGATGCACTAAAAACTCGTTGCACACCCCAAAAGGTGTCAGGGCAGTTCGTGTGATGAATCTGTGCTGGCCATGGACGAATATGAATGTCGTGTTCCTGGTCTCTTAGTGTCCTACAGTCCTGATCCTGCCAGCAGAGCTCTGGTAACCCCTGGATTTACTGGCTGGGGGTGAGTTTGGTCCCCGTGACCCGGCACCGAGGTGCAAAATGAGTTAAAACCACCCCCCCACGCCCCCCAAAATCAGGAAAGGGACGTTTTGTACCCCAGACATGATTCAAAGAGCTGCCAGTCTGAGGCTGAAAGCTGGTCAGAAGGTTCCATAATCTTGCATTGTATTTAAAAGCTAACATCTATGTACTGTATTTAACTGTCTAAAGCTTTAAAAGAAACCTAACAGAAACAAACCCTGTCTTAAGAGTAGAGTATTAAAGGTCTTGCTCTAACTGTGGTATAAATAGTTTTAAAATCTGTCATGTACTGTACATAAATTCCACGAGAGTCTGCTTGAAAGGAGCAGAATATAATAACTTTATTGCCTAAACTTAGTTTTGTAATTTAGCTCTTTCTTTTCTTATTTTATTATTTTATTTTTTCTTTTTTCCTGGAAACAGTATCTCTGTCGTATTTAAAGAGTTCACGTTCTACTCCGTGGCCTTTTTTAATGGAAGAGGGGGAAAAAATGGTTTAGGATGGGAATTGCAGGGCCAGAAATGGCTAAAATGGAGGGGGAAAAAAAAAAAACAAATTAAAACAAAGAGGAGTTCAGGCTGGCCAGTCCTGTCCCCCAGACATGCTGTGAGACCCCCTCAGACCCCAGTGCTGCTGGGGGGGGCTCCTGTAGGAATTCTCAGATGCTTTGGGAATTCCCTGGGAACACCAATTGCTGGGAAAGGCAGGAAAAATCCCGAGATCCTCTGAAGCTCCAGCGGTGAAGCTGAGGACACAGGGATCCCCACTCTGGGAGCTGCCTTTCCCCCCATCCTCCTCCTCCTCAGCAGGCTCTGGGAAGAGGAGCAGAGGGTCCCGTGCTGGGGGTCCCCCAAACCTTCTCCCAAATCGCTCTGGGGGAGCCAAAAAAAAATCAGGATCAGCCAG